CCTAGGGGAGAAGGCATGAACTCATTTTCCGCCCACATTTTCAATCACTTCTGGTCAGGGGAAGGTTGCAGCCCCAGGCACCCTTGGGATTACACGTTGGCAGTACGAGTTCCTGCATGAGGGTCAATCAACTCCGGCATTTTGGCAGTCTTTCCAATGCTCCTCTGGAATAACATGTTTGGACACCTGAATTTGATCCTCTGCAGGTAAAGACAGCTGCATATTAAACTCTCACATCAAGCAACTCCAAATGTACCTAAAGGCAAGAGGCATCGGAGCACCTTGCACTACATATAGAGCTGCTTGTAACATTGTAGGATGTTTAAAGAGAAGCAGCCAGGATTATTAATGCATCTGGAGCGCAGTACATAAATATCAGGCGCAATAACAGAGCGGCTCTTACCCAGCCATGTGTTGTTGCAGGCAGTCACATATTCGAGTAGTACGTGGCTACTCTCTAAAAGCATGATTTGTTAATAGAGGTTTAACATTTCCATCACATCCAGTTGCTGAGATAAGCTAGGACAAACCAACAACAAAACACAGACAGGAAAAAAAAAACGAAGCAAAACATCACTGCTAAAAATATTTGCTACTTTCAAGTAAAAGCATCAGTTGATTTCAGATATTGATTTTTGTTCTTGTACTTTGAAACAGTTCCAAATTCCAACTCCAAAGAAAATGTTACAATTAAAATCTTGGATCTCACACTGACATCAGTTGTAAAAGAGCCACACTTGCGCAAATCTGGAATTGACAGTGTTTTACTGACAGACAAATTAGTAAGACAAAAATAACTATTTTGCTTTGATGTCAACAGTGGAGCCCGCAGCCAGATTTTTTGTTTCCTTAATCTGTCAGCCCATGTCGGAACCACACACAGAGCTGCAAATTAACCACTGCTCTCTGATCGTGTAAAAGCACTTGTGCTTCGTTAGAATTCATCTTGAATGTAAAAAATAAATGGATACAACCTGCTGGATATGGAAGCTGCAGACTGTGATAGACACTTCTGCAGGGAATAAACTCCATCATCCTGCTGGTTTGAAGGGTTGGTTCAAGCTGAAGGAAGGAAGTATTCCCATATTCTAGGAATAAAAAAGCTAAGGCTAAGGTTCAGGTAATGCTCTTTTGAAGTTACATTTTTTTTTTACCAATGAGGCCAAATGTAAAATGTCAAACTTCCTGCTCTGCTCACAGCCTTGGCATTTGTCAATAGCCATGGGGGGATTTACCAGCTTATAATAAACGGACAGTAAGACACAGAGCTACTGCAGAAACTTAATACTTTTCTCTCAATGAAAAGCCTTCAGACACTAATGGCTGCTTTGATCTACACAGAAGCCCTTGCTAAAATTAGTCTGCTTCTTCAAATAGAAAATGGGAAAATATGTAAGCAGAAGTAATTCTGCCAGCACTTAATACTCCTCTCCCCATTTTCATCACAACTCCCCACATTTCTAGCCTTGCTCCCCAAGCAGGCAAGGCACAGGTGACCCAGCATGACTGTCTGCCTGCCTACCAGTCATTTCCCACCATCATTTTTTATCCACCAGCTAATTTCAACAAACTAGGACAGGAAAGAGCCTCAAAGCCCTTAAATTCCTGAGCTTCATGCACCTGGGAGGATGGAAACTCAGTGCCCCCTGGGCACCTAACCCAAAGCTACTTCAGCTCAGCCCCATGCAGCGCCATGCTGCACGTGCTGCCAGCCCCACGAAGGGGTACAGCCGTGACACGGAGATGGGGCGAGAAGCGCCCACGCAGCACAGGCTTGCGAGTAACGTGGTGATTATGGAAAGCATGGAAATCAATAAGGAACCCGACAACTTTGCTTCTACTGCCCATGGGCCAGCTTAACAATAAATAACAAGTAATAATAACAAATGCAAGTCTCTGAACACAGGTTTCCTGCTAAAAGCACTGGAAACGCTGTTAAGCCAGCCCAAACAGCCTCTAGCAGAGCCTGCTAGAGGGCTGAATCACTGACTCTTGCTGGGAGGTTAGCAGGCAGCTCACACCACTAAGTACACATCTGTTCCCGGAGCAGAGCCTGGGTACGAGCCCAGTTTGTCACTATCACAGATTCACAGGATGGCTGAGGTTGGAAGGGACCTCTAGAGATCACCCAGTCCAACCCCCTGCTCCAGCAGGGACACCCAGAGCACGGGGCACAGGGCGGCATCCAGGCGGGTTGGGAAGATCTCCAGAGAAGGAGACTCCACAGCCTCCCTGGGTAGCCTGTGCCAGGGCTCTGGCACCCTCACAGGGAAGAAGTTCTTGCTCATATGAAGACTGAGCTTCCTGTGTTTTAATTTATACCTCTTACCCCTTGACCTGTCACTGGCCACCACTGAGCTTGGCCCCATCCTCACTACTTTCACCCTTCAGCTCTGGACAGATGTGAAACAGAGTGTAGGAACAAAACTGACAACCATGGGGGCATCCAAAAATCTTGAATGCAAGATTTTATCAAATTTTTTAAAGTATAAAACTATAACAAGTATTTTTAGTTTTTTTTCCCATTTCTCTTTGGCTTTGGTAGTCCAAATACTGTTACACAAAGGAGGTGTAGCAGAAAGAGTCATCCTCACTTCTTACTTGCTTGCTACATCTCAGTTGCTAACCCTGCAGCAGCAAAACACTCTCCATTTGGACAAAAGACTCTCAAGAGCCCTGGAGACGTCCCTCTTCCGCATGCAATTACTGACTCCTTTTCAAGAAATGCTGCAGCATCCTTATTCAGCACTTGTAAAGGACAGTATTGCTAACCCACCAGATTCTCTTCTGGATTTGCTGAAACCCCAGATAATTATCTTTTTGAAAAACGTTTGGAACATTACCAATAAAGTCTGATCCGGAAAAAAAAAAAAAAAAAAAAAAAGAAAGAAAGAAAGAAAGAAAGAAAGAAAGAAAGAAAGAAAGAAAGAAAGAAAGAAAGAAAGAAAGAAAGAAAGAAAGAAAAAAAAAAAAAAAAAAAAAAAAGAAAAAAGAAAGAAAGGGAGAGGGAAAGAAATCCTATAGTGCCTATTCTTATTCTTGCCAGTAAAAAGTATCTGGCACAACCTGTTGAAGTAAAAGGCACCCAGTGGCAAGAGACTGATGCTTAGGTTTTCACTGGTAAGTTGCTTGATCCAAAGCCTACTGCAGTGGAAGGAGGAAAATACAGCTGTGTTATATTCCTATGCTAACTTCTGACTTCCTATGAATTGTGCTGGGGGGGAAAAAAAAAAAAAAAAAAAAAAAAGTACCTCTGAGTTCATGCTTTAAATACGCTTAGCTACCTACTCTGAAATGAGGATCTCACTTTCATCACTTTAGACTCAAGAGGAACTGGAATACGAGGAATCCCAGCTGCGTCCAGAGCTATTTTCAAGCTTCTTTAGTACCTTACATGTCTAAGAAAACCTTTTCAATTAATACTGACGGACAAATAGATTTGACAGCACCTTGTCTCCCAACTCTCACCATGTTCAGAGACCAGGCAGAGCCAGGACTCTCTCTTGCTTCCCACGTTCCTGATATTTCGCCTCTTGCATTCCATAGGCCAGGCATTTTGTACTGCTTTCTTTGCTGCCATCAGCTCTGGCTGGAAACTCTTTCCTCCTGCTCTGTTTGTGTAGCTACTTTGATGGCTTCTCCTTGCACCTTCCAGTGTGGAGACTGAAGCTTCATCTACCACCAGACCCACCTCCAGAACTGGTGTCAGGGACACACAGCTGACCAGTCCTGGATCTCGATGCCAAATTCACTTGTGCTAGTTTACATAATCACAGATACACACGGCTGTGGTACATTTGTACCATGTGAGAGTTGCTCTTAGAAAATCTGCTTCAGGCTTTTTCTTTCTTTTTTTTTTTTTTTTTTTTTTTTTTTTTTTTTCCAAACTGGAAATCAGGACAGTGGCCTAGAAGATGAGTTCCTCCCAAGCTCTGCTTGGCTTGCGAGTGGAGGAAAGGGGCCAAAGATGGCCTGGTGCCATCGCTCGTCTGTCGAGGACATGCTTAGCTTTCCATGTACATCAGCCTCAGGCTGCTCCTGCTCAGATTGGGCTACATCGTTCAGGTTTGGCTGCCGCAGCCCCACAGGGGCTGTCCCACAGCCCAGAATCGCTCGCCAACCCTCTGGCCACCCTTCCCTTCCCTTCTCTAGATGACTCCTGCAAATCTGCCACATATCCCTGAGCCAAATCTTTCGGCAGCCCAGAGGCGAAGGAGGATGGAAAAGCGAGTAACCTCTTTTCCTCACAGACGTGCCTGGCAGCAGAGCTTGCCGGTGGTGAGCTCCTCTGGGTTGCTGGACAGGTGGGAAGAAGGTAGAGCAGGGATAACGCAAACAGAGCAGGGAGAGGCTGCCTTTACCTTTGGCAGTGTGAGAAAGGAAGCAACGCCAGGCAGGACTGCCCAAAAGCGTGAGCAAGAAGCCCGAAAGGAGGCAGCCTGACCGCATGAGGTTTTTGGCTTCCAAATCGGGGTTAGTCACTCCCACTTCTGGGCTGAATTCTGCCAAACCTCCACTTAGGAAGCTCCGCTGGAAGCAGGTGCTAGGGCGAAGGGGGAAGCCGCCGCGCTCCGCTCTGCTGGCCCTCACTCGGCAGCCGCCGCTGCCGCTTCGCAGCGGCACCGCAGCGCCCGCGCCAACGGCCGCCGGCCCCAACGGCCGCCCGCGCCAACGGCCGCCGGCCCCAACGGCCGTCGATCCCAAGAGCTGCCCATCCCAAGGGCTACCGGCCCCAACGGCCGCCCGCCCCAACGGCTGCCCATCCTAACGGCCGCCGGCCCCGAGAGCCGCCCGCTTCATCGGTCACCGGCGCCAACGGCCGGCGGCTCCCGCGGCAGCAGGAGGCGGCGCGAGGCGCCCCCTTCCCGCCCCCCTCCGCCGCCTTCCCTCCCTCTGCCCTTCCCGCCTCCCGGCGCTCCCTCCCTCCCTCTCCCTCCGCCTGCGCAGCCCCCGCTGCCGCCCGCTGCGCAGAGCGCCCGCCGCGCCGCGCCGGCCGGGGCATGGCGAGCCAGCGCTGCTTCGCCAACCGCTTCGATGACTACCAGGGCAGCCCGGCGGCGGGCAAGGAGGCGGCGGCGGCGGCCGGCAAGGAGGCGGCCGTGCCGCTCGTGACGGCCACCATCGAGCGCATCCTGCGCGAGCTGCCGCCGCTGGGCGCCTGCCAGGGCGGGCTGTACGGCGGCGTGGCCGGCGTGGCCTACATGCTCTACCACGTCGCGCAGTGCCCGCTCTTCGCGCCCTCGCGGGACGCCTACCTGCGGGCCGCCCGCCGCCTCGCGGACGCCTGCGTGCGCTACCAGGAGGGCGGCGGCGAGGCGGACGCCGACACCCGCGCCGCCTTCCTGCTGGGCGGCGCCGGCGTGTACGCCGTGGCGGCGCTCGTCTACGGCGCGCTGGGGCTGCCCGAGGCGGCGCGCGCGCTGGGCAAGTTCCGCGAGCTGTGCGAGCTCTGCGCGCCCCTCTCCTTCCTCGAGTGCGGCTCCGACGAGCTCTTCGTGGGCCGCGCCGGCTACCTGTGCGCCGCGCTCGTGCTCAAGCAGCGCCTGGGCGTGGAGGTGAGCGCGGCGGCGCGGCGCGGCGGAGGCCCGCGGGGTCCGGGGGGAGACGGGGCGCCGTGTCGCTCTGAACGCTTCGGAGCTGGGCGCCCCTGCGCGCGGAGGACGCGGCTGAGGATGCCGTGGGTCTCGGCGGGGAGGGGTGGCTGCCGCCGCCGGCTGCCCCCGGGGGTGGTTGATGCTGCCCGCGCCGTTTGCCGTGGTGATGTTGCGAGCGAGTGGCCCGGGCTGTATGCGAGCGGGCGTTCCTTAAACCGCGTTCCCGTTGCCTTGTCGTGTCCCATCTTTGTTTCCCCTGTTAGACACGGATTGCGAGTTCCAGTGCTTCTGGCATCGCTGCCTCCTGGGAGGAGAAGCGAATGCTACGAGTAAATAAATGCAGTAAAACCAAGGAGCTCTGCCCTATCCAATACCAGCCATTGCAGCTGGAGTCCAGGGAAATCCATTTATTGTAGATACCCATCTCGAAAGGGCAAGAAGGATGTTAAATCCATTGATTGTTTTTGACCAGCTTGCGCAAAAAAAAAAATTTACAGCCCGAAACAGTTGAAGTAGGAGATGTGCTAAGTGTCTCTTTGGCCAGGATTTTGTCGGAAGAAACAACTGTAAAGGGGTTGTGTTCTGGTGCGAGTGCCATAGCCATGCCTTTGCAGTCTGGCAGTGTTTTCTTGTCCTGTGGGGCGCATGGCTCTTTGTAGCTGCAGCCCGAGGGTCTTGCACAGAGCAGAGCGAGCAGCAGCACCGGCCTCAGGGGACGCATGGTCGTCCTCGTAGTGCGGGTTGCTCTGGTGCTTACGATGGCAGGGTGCACGCTGCCCGTAGGAGAGAGCACCCTGCTCCATCTCTTTCCCCCTCCTGTTGGTCTGACACCCTAGAAGCAGGTGTAATCTCCTGGTGCCTTCTGACCGCCCTTCCGAAGAAGGGAAGAGCCCTCCTCCCCGCTCGCCCGCTGGCTGAGGGTGTGAAGTCACACTTCAGCGCAGCGGTAAAGAGCTAAACTTCCCCACAGCCAAACACAGGTCTGCACGTGTTGTGGGCTCCCTTTGGCAGCTGGGTGTGAGGGCAGCGGTTTGGCATTTATTTTGACAGAGTCACAGCAGATGACAGTCGCTGGAATACCCTCAGTCCAAATCCTGTCTCCTCCTGCTGACGTTTTCTGCAGTAAGCCAGGCATCCTTTCCTAGCATTTGTTCTTGTTACCACATTGTAATTTTAAGTGTGTAGCGAAAGAGAGAAGCAAACTAATTATGACTGTTAAGTGCTAATAAAAATAACTTTTTTATTATTGATTTTAATAAAAAAACACTAGAACTTTTAATTAAAATACTTTAAGCCTAAAGTTTTTTTTCTCTTTTGCCCTTTGTAATAAAATAATGATCTAGAGCCATGTGTAGTCATAGCCAGGCAAAATCTGTATCCACTCATGAGAGTTCCTGTTCTAACCCAGAACTGCTTTAGTTAGCAGACTGCCAGGCCAGATCCTGCATCTTTTTACACTGGAAAAAAAGATGCCCAGAGCAGGTGCACGTCGTTTATTACTCAAGGTCAAACAGTAAGTGAGTTACGACCTAGAATAGCAGCGATGTCTTGTGACTGTAACGGCTAGAAAATGCCATCTCCTGTAATTTGATTGTGCACAGCCTCACCTGGATCACTGCAGTATGTTTCCTTCCTTGCCGTGTTCCTTTCCGAGGCTGCTGTGCAAACGTTTCCAGCACCAACTGAAATCCATCCCTTAGGTCAAACTGTGGTCACTGCAGTCTCTATGGCTGTCTTTTTTGATTGTTTGTTTCTTTGCTTGCTTGCTTGCTTGCTTTTTTCTTTCTCTGGATCATTAAATATATGAGAAATCGATTGCCCTTGAAAAGCAGTTTTGTGAACAAATTTTACAGTTTCTTTTGAGGGCTTCATGTCTTTTCTGGGCAGGGAAAAGAGGAGGCTGCCTTATTTCAGTAAATGCCAGGTTAGCTCAGCTCTCCTTCCCACGTTCTGCAGCTCTTTGCTCAGCAGTCTGGGTGTTTCAGAGCTTCTCCAGAAAGTTCACGGGCTGCCCAGAAAGATCCAGTCTGTTGAGCAGCATTGATCTCAGGTGAAGCCAGGATTCCCATTCCACTCATTTTCAGAGTTGGAGGCTAACGCAGCATTTTCTCCTGGTGAATATTGATTCGCTGGGGTGAATTGGAAGGCAGACGTTTGCATGAGTTACTTTTGCAGTTACTTTGGCGGGTGAGACTTGGTGGGACTTGCCATAGTCATGCACGAGGATGCTGTTTGTTAGGAAAGGTGTTTGTTTTGAGCTGCTTCTGCTACACTGTAATCAGTGCTTCCTGGAAAGAACCGGCTAAAATATTGTTTTGGCAGAAACAGTGTTTCCTTTTTATTTGTGACATATAAACAAGATGCATGTCCTTTAACGTTTGTGCTTTCCTTAGCCTCAGCGTTCTCCGTGTTCAGGGAAGTTTTGTCTTCCATTCTATCTTCTTTAGGTACATCTGATGCTTCTAATGTTACCTTCCACAAAGATGTTACAGGTGTTTAGCACAGCTTAGGTTTGCTTTTGGTAACTGACTGGTCCAGTGGGGTTGACTGTCTTCCACTAGCTTTATTTCAGTAAAAATGATGCAAAAAATGCAGAAAAAAAACATGCAGCACCCAACAGCAGGACACCACGTAGGAGGCAAAACAGTAAAAAGCAGCAAGGCAGCCCTGTGCTGTGGCTTCAGTGAAGGGGCAGTAGTTTTGAGTCACATCTCAGATGCTGTAAGAGACCCTTCCTTGCCTGTACCCAGAGGGCTGGTCTGCTGAACGAGCCCCCGAGGCAGCAACATAGTCAAAGCAGCCAGTTCCCTGCTCTGAGTAACTTACTGATTAACTCATCTCTGAGCGGAGTAAGTTTTCTGTCACTACCCATGTTTTCTACCCATATATTGGGTCACATGGTGCATGGAGAGGCTGCAGAAGGGCAGTGCTCTTCTGGAAGCCCTCGTGTGGCCATAGGGCCCTGCCAGGAAGCCTGTCTTCCCTGGCTGCCGTCTGTGACCAGAGCGTGTCACACAGGCCACAGCACAGACTCAACGTGAGATTTTGGCCATGCAGGATTTAAATGAGATACCAGTAATGATAAAAAGCTTTGGACCTTAGCCTACCTCTTTTAAATACACATGTACTCTTTTATCTGTGGTTTTCCAGACCACACACTTAGGCTAGATTTTTAATTAATTTGTTTAAATTGCTGAAATTAAATCAGGAGTTTGATTTTATTTTTTTTTTAATATAGAGGGAAACAAGGAGACTAATTTATATCTGTTTGGTTTTGGAAAGCACTATGAAACAGTCTGGGTCTAAATTTCAGAACTGCTCCATTTATCTTCAGTAGAATAACACAAACCTGTTTATATATTGTCTATTTATTTATTTATTTATTTATTTCATATGTATGCAGATTCTCAGCCTGAATAACCTAGAATGGTTGGCCCCATGGATTCAGTTCTGTACAGCAGAAGCTGAATATCCAACTGCAGAGACAGAGACTATACTAATATACTTTGGAGAATGTTGAATTGAAGTGTATTGTTTAACTAGCAATGGCAAGCATCATAACACAGACATTGCAGAGTCGATCCTGCCAGCATTGGGAGTTTAATGGACTCAAGTTTGTCTGTACACATGTATTTTACTGGAGAAGTAAGGACTTTGACAACTAATAGCTGAGGAGTGGTAGCAGTCTGCCATTCCTGTCTTCCCTAAGGACAGTCTCGTACAAAAGCTGTGTCAGGTTTCTCTGTACTTCTTTGTGCTGGTGTAAAAAAGATTTGCCTATGCAGTATCATCTTTTTGCTGACAAAGCAAGCGAAGCTGTGCAGAACCAAAGTTACAGCATCTCTGTTGAACAAAAGAGAGAGAGAGTCTTACCCAGGAGAATCTTCTGTACCCAAAATGAATCTCTCTGCCACCCCTAAACCCTTTAAATTTCACATTCTGGAAATTAACTCTTAACCCTGGACAGCTCAGGCATCCTCCTCGTCCCTGCGGAGAACTTTCAGGTCACACTTTTGGGTCTGTCAGCACCACTCCTTAGCCTACTGGAAGCACCTGTGTTCCACGCAAAGGGTCCTTCCCCCCTGCCTGGCAGCCAGGGCTGCCTCTGCAGCACTGCCGGGCTCGGGATTGAGATCTGAATTGCAAAAACCAGGGATCAGAATGGGGGTGGTTTTGTGGACACAGTGCTGCTCAGTCCTCTGGGCCTGGTGAGTGTATCTAGTGCCTCCTTTCTCCAAGCAGCCAGAGCCTTCAGAGCAGCTGGACTGAAGAACCAGGGAAGATCTCTGGTGGAGACGGAAGTTTTGGGGTGGCACCTAGTGCTACCCACAGCATTAGTCACTTAAGGTCAGTTTGATGCAATACAAGAAGTTTTTCAAATGTGCTGCCTTAATAATTTCTAGATTTTTATATTTTATGGTTTGTACATATGCCAACGATCCCTTTGATACAATTCTGTGTTTCATCAGCTTTCTCTGGTTTTTAGGTCTGTAGTGATTCAGGGCACGGTGTTTTTGACGTGATCTTCACAAAGGACATAGAGCTTCACCCCTGCAGTTGTGCAGTGCGTGTGTTGGAGTGCGTGAAAGGAGAGACAGTGAAGAAATGGAAAGAAATGAACTTGGAAAGAGACTGAAAAGAGAGGAGACTATAACAGTCAAGAACAGAATGAGAAAAAGGTAGAAGAGTAAGATACTGACAAAAAAAAATATAGAAATCTGGAAAGGAGTAATAGAATTCACAGTTAAATGGAAGAAAAACAGGAAATAACTTAGACCCTGGAGCAGGAGAGATTAAAAACCTTAAATTGGGTCCTCTGGCAAACTGGTGTGAGAGAGTGACTAATGGACTTGACTTAAGAGGAGCACTCAGCAGAAGATTCAGGGGCAGGGAGAAAGCAGCCTCAGGAAGGGCTAGAGGAGTAAATGCTGCATAGGCCGAGGAAAAACAATTTTTTGTCT